CCAGCCCCCAGTTCTTAAAAAAAAAAAAAAAAAAAGCCCCAGCTCACTGGCTGCTGTAGTGGCCTCAGGGCTTCTAGGAGAGCCCTCCCCCTCAGCCTCCCTGCAGGGCAGTGGGGATTGCCCCTCTGCTTGGCAGCAAGGGGAGGTGGGGGGGTTCGGTTTCTGAGCTGGGAGGCTGGAGCCAGGCAGGGCAGCCATTGACGGGGCTGGGGGAGCGGGCGGGGGGATGGGCTGCTTTGGCTGATTCGGCTGCAGCCAAATCTCTGAATCAGACTCTAAGCAAATACTAGCCGCTTTGCGCAGGCCTAGCAGAATCTCTATATATTCCTATGTAATCACAAGTGGGACTGGAAAGGGGTTTTGCACATTGTACCGGTTCAGAGCTCTTATCCATGCTTCTGTCATACAAGAAAACTTGCATAATGTGTGTTCAGGTGCAAGAGTTGCCATTCCTTTTGTCTACTGGAGAAGTCAAGAAGCCATGCAGAAATGTAGTGCCTAATGCCTCTTGGTGAAGGGGATGGATTTTCTCTCTTCTAATTTTGTTCCCCACAGAATGCATGGGCACTCAAATTCAATATAGGAAAGGATTACGTACCCAAGGGATTTATGCCTGTCAACTTGAATAGTGCAATTTTACACTGAGAGGATTAAATAAATAGGTTGTATTGAAATATGCACACTTAAGATGCTCATAATAATAGCAGCACTCCACTCTGAATTTCTTTGCCATTCTCTTCACTAGAAAAGGTTTCCACTGCCTATTTCTGTAGTTGATCAAGCAATTGTATACCCACAATCAAACTACTAAAAGGCAGTATGCTACCTGTGATGACTTAAAAAAAAAAAAAAAAGGCTGTGTACTCCCCCTCCCCCCCCCTTTTAAAAAAGTACCTGAAAAAATGTTCTGTGGGCTTTGTTCCCAACACATTCATCATTCAATATATTGTGCATGGACACAGGAACTAACTGCAGACACACTAATGCTAGTTGTAAACCTGACCTTTTTGCTACTGTACATGAATTTAATATTTTATATACTCGTATGTAGCTACAGATTTAACAAATAACAGATTGCATATATTGTGCTTTTATAAGTTAAAATCCTTAACGTCTATTCCGAATTGAGGTGATGATAAAAAATGCTTTAAAAAAATCTGTCTCTAAAGCCAACCCATTTCCCCTGCTGTATTCAAAAAGGCAGCGATAGGGATAGATGTTGCTGCTAATAAATAAAAAGTTCCTCCCAAAAAGAAGAAAAACAACAAATTCTCTGTAGGCACTACTGAATATAAGTTACATAATAAAATATGATTTCAAGACTAGTAAGGAGAGTGGGTGGAGAAAGAAAGTCTAAGTGTTTCACTTTTCTTTCTGGTCAGCCAGTTTCCTTCCCATCAGCTCTTCCTGGTCCTATCTGACACTCTGAGACATATGTAAAGGTGTCAGCATCTCTTCAAAGATAGCTCCTTTTACGTTAGATCCTCTCAAGTTAGCTTCTTGTAGATCACACCCTGAAAGATCACAATTCTAAAGAGTACAGAGAAATGTCACTTATTAGTTTAAATGTACACAGAAATCATTCCTTAAGAGCTTGAGCCAATATAAATAGTGCTGGCTACTTATACAGAAAGACAGAACGCTTAGTACAGGGTCAGGCAATTATTTCTGGCAGAAGGCTGCTTACTGAGTTTTGGCAAGCCATTGAGGGCCACATGACAGGCAGCCAGGGGCAGATAAATATTAATTTTCTAATTTTTTAGGGGCCCCGCTGGCCAGGTAGAATGGCCTGGCAGGCCGCATCCAACCCGCGGGCCACATGTTGCTCACCCCTGGCTTAGTACAAGCTAGAGTTGCTTGAACACTAAGGTATCAGCCTAAATTTAAGCTTTTTTGCCATTCCTGGTGAGATTTCCAAAGCACGTCCAGTCATTTTTATAAGGAGGAATCTGAAGTTGCAGTTTGCACTTCGAAACACATTAACTTCCACTCGGTGAGATGAAGTTATATCTCAATCCTAGATAGAAGGCATAATACTGAGATTCCACCATTTATAAATCGAGGGGCATACAGGGGTAACGGCTGGGAACAAACAATGCTGTTAGTTGCTAACAACAGACAGGTCCATAGCTCTTTATTGTGTTTTAGCCTACTAACTAACAGCAAGAAAGACTGCAAGTTTTGCCTTATTCTGTTTTCAGTGAAGTCAGCAGCAAAACTCCATCTAACTTCAAGTGATAAAGCAATTTCTTTGCGTGTTCAGATCTTTGCAAGAGGCTACCCATTGGTAGGGCAATTTTTTTTTTGCCCGCTACCAAAGGAGCTTGAAAAATAAAGTGTCATGTCAGAAATAATGGGGCAGGAGTTAAGGATTTAGAATGTGAGAAACTGATGTTTTGGAACAATAAGAACACTGAAAAACCAATATCTATTCAATGCAAGTGTTGTCTCTGATTTAAAATATACTTGGAGATGTTTCATTTAATTCTATAATTCCTTGGCTGAAAAGGAATTAAGGCTGCTAATAACCCCTTTATTTATTGTATTTAAAATAAAGCACTACTCACCTCCAAGTCAGTTCCTGCCAGAGTTGCTCCTCGGAGGTTACAGTTTTTTAGCTTTGCATTTTTCAGCGTTGCTACTCTTAAATTAATTCCTGTCATCTGACTTCCTTCCATGTCCACACCTTTCAGGTTAGCACCTAGGATATACAAACAGTAAGGAAATGAAGAGACAGTTATGCTTGATGTTCACATGGCCATCCCTCTGCATAAGTCTTTATTAGTCTTGGGTCCTTTGGGATGTGGCCAGAAATACCTAACAAACCAACAGCAGAACTGATAACAGAACTCAGGAGCTCTGGACTTGTAGGTTAATTATTTAGCCACAGCATCTCCTCACAGAGTATCTGTTGCACAAAGGAAGGCTAAAACTGTCCTGAACTTAGATTTAATCATTTATTGTACTTACAAAAAAGCCACAGAAGTCCTTGTCCTTTGTGACTAGTGCAAGGAGTACAGAGCAGGGAAAATTACTGTTTATATTACCTTCCAGGTTAGCTTTAAGGCCTGAAGGATCTTCAAAGTTGCATCCTTTTAGTGATGCTCCTTCTGCGTTGGAACAAAGCATCTTCACACCTTGAAGGTTTGCACACTGGCAAAAACAGATGTATATACTATCAGTAAGGCACCAGTGGAAATCAAACAGTGCAAAAGACAAGCAGTAACAGTTTGTTTGTATTGGATCATCACGCTGCATCTCTGAGGACTAAAATTTTACCACCATTTTTTCACCAACCTCTGGAGATCACAAATGTAGTCCACCATAGTTCTCTGAACAGCCACCCACCAAAGGCAAGCTCAAGTCCAAACACTTAAGCCAGTACTCCTATAGGAAATTATTTGGGGAGTAAAATAAACTTGGATGACCTTTAAATTTTGTAATTGCGAACCTAGCAAGTTAATACAGGAAGGCCTAATGTAAACTAAGTAATGAAATCGTAGGTATGTCAGTGTCTTCAAAAAGGTTTTAAAAAATAATAATGAATAATCTGTACATTATAATTATTCCTCTTCCCAAGTAACGAAGAGATCAGTCTTTTCAACAAAGCAACTCTTACATCAAGCACTGATCCAGAGAGGTCAGCTCGCTCCAGATTTGCGCAGCATAGGTTGGCATGTGCTAGGTTGCAGCGGCTTAAGTTAGCCATCTTGAAATTTATGTACCGAAGATCTAGACGGGAAAGATCTGCTCCACTGAAATTTAGACCCTGAAAAAAAGTTATGATAGCTGAAGAGTAGGTGTAGTCCAGGGTGAAAACACAAGACACTGTTAAGAGATCCAGGGCTATGATTCCAGTTCTAATACCCTCTTGTTCTGTGACCTTTGGCACAGAGCAGATTTCTGTCCTAATTTTTTTTTGTTCATAAGAGGAGGGTGGTATAAAGGAGCATTGCATAATTATATTAGATGAGCATGCTTGAAAAGCAACAATTCTAAGTCACTCTTTAGTCAGTAACTAGTATTGAAAGCTGTGCTGCCTTCCTGTATAGACACTCATCTTGTTCAAGTCCAGCACCTTTCTTTCCTCTGCAGTTGTATTATACTTAACTTCAGGTCTTCAGAAATGTTTTCAAAAGATGAATTTAGGGGCTCAAAATTCTACAGGCAGGCAATGTAACAAGTGTTTTCTGCTGTTAAGGCATCCAAAGAAAAAAAACCTGAAATGCCTGACATCATGCGTTGGCCTGTTTCACATTTAGCTACAAAACATTTTTAAGTGAATGACTGCTCCTTGAAACTTTCAACCTAGAGCAGTGCAAGACTGAGCAGAGGGACTTTCTCCTGCACGCTTGGTTTTGACATCATGTTGTTCTGCTATATCTTGAAATTGAGACCTTCTGTCATTTAAAAAAAAAAAGTAAATGAAGGAGGAATAAAACCACACATGACTAATGTCACATGAGATTGCAGAGTATTTTGTTGTTGGATAGTTCAAAGCAAGGTTTGGATTTTAATACCTGACAACGTAGCTCAGACTTGGTTGGGGTTGCCAGCAAAAACCGGACAAATTCCTTTCGTGATATAGGAGAATGGTCCTCTGCTGGCTGTGAATTCTGTTGAGAGTTTTATCAAAGATGAAAAATCAACATTGATGGAGCTAAAAATTAATATAGCTGAGAGAAACAGGACATTTGCAGTCCAATACAGAAGTTAGAATTACCTTAATAGCTACTTCTAGATGTTCAATCAGTGAATCAATACCAAAAAACCTGGCTTCTTCCAAAACACCTAGCAAAAAAAAGTTACATATTGTTTAAAAGAGTGCTCAACCTTACAGGGAACCAAATTCCCTCCTTTACTTGAGGATAAGGGAGCTTAAGACATCTCAAAAAATGTGCCCAAGCACTTTGTTCAATCTGCCCCTCCCCTGTCTGGGAGGAATATAAATTCATAATGTTCTCATTTCACCTTTTAACTGTACATGCTAGGATCTCTCAGGAAGATAGGTAGATCAGTTGTTCAGTTTCATGCACTCCTTGTAAACTGTTTTTGATCCAAAACAACTGTCAACCACATATAGTATATTAGATGTAATTGCGGGGTAAAGGAAAGGAGAGATTACTCATGGTTAAAAAAGGAGAAGTAACCCTGCAGTTTAGGAAAGGTGTGTTTCCAATACAGGCCATGTTCCTTTACACAAGAGACATCAAGACTTGGTAAATGAAGGTTCAGGAATCAAATCCAGAATACAGTTGCACATGAGGGAGTATCTTGCCAACCCTTAATCTGAGTGGGTTGGAACATTTTAGTCTCATTAAAATTAAATCTGTGGAACTGACTTTATCAATAACAAATGTACCACAGCTAAAGTATACAAACCTCCAAATGTGTGCACGCAGTTTCTACCAACTTAAGTGGATTTAACTGGGAACAGAGTTCAACTTAAAATTAATAAGTTACTGAAATATCACAGATAATGCATACCTAGTAAATTAATGCCATCATTTACAATGAGCTGTCCATGACGCAAATAGTTCAGAATTGGTTCAAAATACTCTGGACTGCGGTCAATTAGGAATGCTCCTCTGTGATCCTTCTTATTTCCCCAGGCATCTGTTTCCACAAAATAATCTATCATTAAATTTGATATGTAAATAAAAATGCATATTCAGATTACCACTACCATGAAGTAAGCATCACACTGCCCAAATAGATTAGGTGGAGTTAGATATCTATTTTAAAGGGACACAATTTGGAAAACCATACTTTAAGCTCACATTCTTCTTGTGGTATGGAACCAATGTATTTTATGGTAATGCCAAAACCTTTAAGTTAAATGAGAATTCACAAAAGCAGTATTTGACTGCTTTAGAGTACCTGTTCCAGGAAAAAGAAAAGATCTATCCTCTACTGGGTTGACACACTGACGTTGTTACCTAATAAACAACTGCCAAACCTGAGCAAGTTGTAACCAAAAATAGTGTTCATAATTAACATTATGTACTACTTTTTCAAGATATCATGCAAATATTAGACATAAATGGCATAAAAAGGAAAGTGTGAAACCAGAGCTTAGAAAGCTTTAACTTTATTTTCTAAGCAACTGATGACCAGCTGAAATTTTATCCTAACAGTATCTCTGCTATTTGCTTGAAAGAAGAGGCTGTGGTGGAAGGGAAGCATATACTAACCTTTATCTCTAAACATATGGGCCAGCATACTTTCAGGTTCTTTATTAACTAAAGTGCTCCTACAGAATAAGAAATAGGTCAGTTTAATCTGTACAAAAAAATGACCTCAGAGGAACATCACAATCATTACGTACAAGACTTTTCTGTGTACTTACAGTACCACAAGTAGAAGATATGTATACATAATATGGTAACTTACAGGACCACACAGTAAATATATCTGGCATTATACTGTCAGGACATGGTGAGAGAATCGTGTAAGCGTCTTGCTAAGGCTCCAGAAGGCATTAGTTTGTACAGTCACTATGGACTTACGCTGAAGGCTGCCCCCATCACCTAGCTCTGAATGGGTATCCAGTCATTTAGGTGGGAAGTCAAAAGGTAACTGGATGCAATGCTAGTCAAGTCCCCTTCAGTAGCGGTTAGCTAATGAAACTAGCATGTTTTACCCACGCTAGTCCAGGAACCATTTAGCTTGGATAGACCCACCGCTGTTTTTTTTATTTGTTTTTTTTTTTAGTGCAAGTTAGTTGAGAGTTTATTCCAAAGACCCTTTAAAAGCAGAGCATGCATTTGATTAACTGAAATACTGTAGAGATTACTCCATGTATTTTCAGTTCATTTCTAATAATCTCTGAAAACCACTTAAGAACTAAGCTGGTGCAATTAATGCTACAAAAAGCTAAATAGTAAAAGTTCTGACCCTCCATAAAACAGATTTTTTTCCACTGCTGGAAAAATTTAAAATCTGAAGTTTCAGCAATTGAACTTAGTTACTGTTTATGTCAGAGTTACTATCTAAAGTCCTTTTAAAACAAAAGGGTAACTAGTTACATCCTCACCGTGTGGTTGTAAAATATCGCCCTCCGACATTTAACGTTAACCAATCTGTGTGTGCTCCTGTTAGTTCTTCGTGAGGTTTTGCATCTGTCTGAGGATCTACATAGATGAAGTACAAAATAAGTGATTCTTACTATAGCCATGTAATATTTCTGAACCCCTGTATCGTAAGCACTTCTTTAGAAAACTGCACACTGTAGATTTTCAGACTTACTTCAGATCTCCATTTTTCATAACGCAGACACTTACCAATAAATGGTCCCCCTTCACAAACAAACAAAACGTCATCATCCCTGGGGAGGGAAAGGACAAATTAAGCATGCATTTTGAATGCCAGTCACTCATTCAGGCTTAGCCTGAAATCTATCACTTTCAGATAATAGCAAATGATTATTATTTACTTTGAAAAGAACTCTGATTTTATTTAGCTAACGGTGAGACTCCTAATTTACGCCAGTGTGGGCAAGTTCAAGACTCATGTTCTCTGGTCTTAAATAGTTCATTTCAGGATGTTAGCTGTACTTCCTGTAAAGCACAGAGTAGCTAAACTCTCTTTTATCAAGACTATGTAGGCTTGTATTTACTAAACTAACTAATCCTCCATTGGCAACGCATGGCAGGGGCATACATGAGGGGGCACGTGTGCCCTACAAATTTCTGTGCTGATGGCAGGGTTCAGGCATGGGGCTGCAGCCTGGCTGGAGCCAGTGTCCAGTAGTGGCAGCAGCATAGAGTTGTGTCCCCCCACTGGCGGCACTTGTGCAACCCATGCAATCCTCGCTCAAGTATTAACCCACTGGCCAGGTATAAGAATTACAAGATAAAACCATGCATAAGCTCTGGGATCCCTTTGGAATCCACATTTCCTCTGAATAATTCAGATAGGGTTTAAATGTCATAAAATGCACCTTATTCAGGTAGCTTAAATTTTTCTCAGTCAAGAAATTGATTGCAAGAACATTTTTATTTAAGCAAATTAAAGTGTAGTGTTCTCTTCATACAAAGATGTAACTAAGAGACCTAAGAGATCCAGGGCACAAAATAATTGCCAGAAAGGGTCAGAAAGACATCAGTCATACAGTACTGTGCAATTTATCAAGTGCACTGGTAGGACAGGATTTGCTTTCTTCTAATGTGTCAGATACTGACAACTGTTGGAGACATAAATACAGAATACCCCATTTACATGCGCATCAGGTAACTGCATCGTTTACCTAACTGCATAACACGATGCCAGTCCCAATATTTACGCGTACTGATTATGCTTTAACAGTGGTTATCTGCATATTGGTTAAGTGCACAGAGCTCTTCAACCCAACTGTCTACTTTGGGATGCAATTCAATTCTAACTGCAAAATTTGTGAATCTGATTGGGAATCATCATTTTCACGGCTTCTGAAATTGCCCTGAACTGAATAGGTTCTGTCCATTTCTATTAGACACACAAAGCTTCTGGGAAATATGCAGTTAACCCAAGCTGGCTACCTTGTTCTGGGTAAAATCACCACCTTTGTTCACAACCAAAGGTATGCACTTAGTTTGCTAAAGTGTAATATGATCCAGGAAGGATGTGCTCAATATCCTGATCAGTATCTGCACAGACTGATCTTCAGAGGGTTTCTGTAGCACTTCCCTGGAATATTTAGACAGATCTGTCTTGTCTTCAGTCAAGTTAGCTTGTATTTGGAAAACATTACCTAATCAAAGCGATGTCATCAATGAGTCCACCTTTTCCATTGTACACACTGGTTGCTTTAATTCCAAGTTTATTACTCGCCACAGACAGCAAGTCTGATAAAGTCCCATAAACAGCCACAACCTATAAAACAGAAGGCATATTGTTTAGTATCAGTTTAGATACCACGCATGGATAGGTCCTCTAGTCCCTTTTAAATCCAAAGGGCTAAAAGGCTATCTATAGATTGTCCCATATGGGTGTTTTGGAATAGTCGCACACACTTTATTAAGAAGCCATTTGAGTTTTAGAAAAAAACTGTTAAGATACCCTGAATTCAGTCTCTGTCCAACAGCGCCTAACAATGTTACAAAAAATTCTTAAAAAAAAGAAAGAAAAACCAAGTAACCACCCAAAGGAAAAAATGCCTTCAAATGACCAACTGTTTGTAGGTGAGAGCACAGTAAGTGTTATGCCAGATCAAGCCAGCAGTGCATCTCACTTGTTCTCTGGAAATTGCTGGTACCAAATGCCTGCGAGGAAAACTGAACTGAAACCCTGGAGAGTCATTTTAAGCAACCTACCCAGAGTTTCTTCCTAAAATCCCAGCGAAAAGGGGATGCCTTAAAAAGCCTGAGGCTTTGCATACCTTAAAGATATGTTCCCAATTTAAATGAATTAGGGATTGGGAATAGGAGACTTAAATAAAGTGATAAGGATGACTGGAAGTCCTGCCTTGGGCTCTATGTTTTCCCTCACAAATAATTTCTGTACTTCTATTTGTCACATCTACAATATGGGAAGAATTACTTTCCTACCTCTCCAGAACACGTTGCTATTTACTCTTTGTGCAACACTCTGATCATGTGAATTGTTGTACTTGCCAAGATTTTTGGAAATCCAGGGTATAGTTACACAAATGAAATACTTGTTGTTGCTCAAGTTCTTTTAATTTTGATTTGTTTTCGCTAAATTACTCTGCATATTCTGAAGCCAGCCATCACAAAAAAAAACCAACACAATTACTGAGGTAGCCCTCACCAATAAGCACACCAACTGCATCCAGCATACATTTTATGATTTTGGCAGACATACTACATTTAAAAAACCTTGAGGAAACCACAATGATCCAATTTTCTCCATATTTCAAGTATTTACACAGGTGGTGCTATTGTTAACAAATCCTAGCAACAGCATCAAATAGTGGAAAAGGAATCAGGAACCTTAGAGGCATTTGACTATTACAACTATTATAGCTGAAGGGTTTTTTTCATTGTCCACCCCATTCCCCCAGCACACTCTCCAAGGCAAGGAGCAATTCTATTGCAAGCAGAACAGCCTTAATTTCAAGCCATTGAATTATCTACAGTTTAATCACCATACTGACAAATTTTACTAGACACAGTGAGGGAAAAAGGGACAGAAAACTGTCCAAAGTTTGGGAAAGTCTATGATACATTTCATAGTCTCTGGACCCAGACCATAAAAAGCCACCCTAAAAATAATATGATAGAGGACAAGTACAGTATTTAAGGGTGAGGATAGGAAGTAAATCATTAATGCAGTGTAAAGACACAGGAACACAGGACTTGGAAGTCCTGTGCCCAAGTCCAGTCCCCTACGTTTACAAGCAACCATTTGTTTAAAAGGTTTCAGTGGAGAGGCAAAAAAATGAATGACCTGCATTAGACTTTTTCATTCATATGTTAAAAATAAGGAGATGTAAAGACTGCTGCTGAAAGAATGAGTATTGGATGCATGGCACTATATATAGAAGCCCTTCTTGTTGTAATATCCCCTTATCAGCCAGTTTATCCAAGGCTAGTAGGGTTCCATGGGAAAGCAAAACATTTCATTCATTTTTCCCACCGAACCAGGGCTGCTGAGAGCTGGAAGGTGAGTAAGGGTTTCCAGTGCGTGACAAGCCAAAAATCAGCCCCAGTGTAAATGAGCTGTTGAAGCTGAATGACTTGCTTCTTTACAGCAGGATTCGATTTGCTTCATTGACAACAGCAGTGAAAGAATAACTAGTCCTGGCAAATGTATTATGTAGCAACTGTTTTACAGTGAAACACTACTTATTTGCTTAGTTTCAGGCCTTTTTAAAAATCCTTTCTATTTCTACAATTAAAGACTAAAATGATGCTCATGTTCATTACAGAAATCAAGCAATACGGGTCCAAGGAGGACAGCAAAGAGGGATCACATTCAGTTAAGGTACCTATTGGTTAATATTTATGCAGTGACTGAGCCATTCTCCCCGTGTTCAATTTCAGGCTCATGTTCAATATAGCCTTAGATGGCTATTTGGTGCAAAAATACCCACAAGCAGTCTGTAGACTTCAACTGACATGTATGCCATGGTTGCCTAGATTGAGCAGGACCTGTATTTAGTGAGTGTGACGGTGACTAACTTCACTGAAATGCAACTCAGGTGAGAAGTTTTTAGCACCATTTTTTGAAGTCTTTTCTCCCTCTCACCTGCATACATCCTCTCAAGTTAAAAGGTCAGCATATAACATTACATAGGCTGCTGACTCATGTGCTCTATCCTACTCCCACTAACGCCAGTGAAAGTTACAGACTTACAGGGTAGCAAAAATACACTGTAATAAAGATGACCAGTAAAGGGTGGGATGGGATCTCCTCAAATCTTTTATCAGTCTGTGTGTGCTTGATTAAAACTACTGAATCCTTCATCCAGACAACAAACATACAGATGGACGTTAGTGCAAGCTTGTCCAAGTCTGTCCTGCCCCTGCGTTTTAAATGAAAGCGTAGGTCCGTCTCAATCCACATGACAAAACCCAGGGAATACACAGTGCAGAGTGGTGCCCATTACACAAGAGATACCAGAAGAGACAGAAATGCTAATATTTCCTTAGTGAGACACACCCAACTTTCAGCAAGCAAGCCACTCTAGTAAGAAGGAAAAAGAGTAACATTTTTTTAAATGATTGCATTAAAATATAAAGATTTGCACTTCCTTTCTATTCAGAAGAAAACCTGGAGTGTCGTGGAGACAGGAAACAAGAAAAGCAAGGGCCTGGGTTGTCAGGGCAAAGACTGAAAGCATCTTTCCCCCTCTCTGCTGTGAGAGACATGGGAACAGGATCCGGACACTTCGCTGTTTTTTTGTCATGAAGTTTAATGGCTGGGTGAGCGTCGCAACAGCTGTGCCAGGGGAGACATTTGACCACAGATGTGATAGATTAGGACCAGCCCCGCCCCCAGGCCGAGTAAAGGCCACTTTTTCTCTTTTCAGGGCGCACCGAAGCTCCTGCCACGCAGCCCAGCAGCGTGTGCAGGGCCCTGGCGCCCGCCCTCTGCCTTCCCGCTCCTGCCACCGGTAACCGCCCTGCAGTAACAGCCCCTGCCCAGGCCAGCTGCTCCGGACCGGTGCGGCCCGCGGCTCCGTGCAGTGGTAGGAGCCCGCAGGCCGCGGGTGTGGGTGTGCCCGCTCCATGCACTCTGCCACCGGGCGTCCCCCGCCCGACCCCGCCGCGCCCTCGAACTTCACCCCCGCCCCGCGCCCGCCCGCCGCGATTCGCAGCACGTCTGTGCGCTCCGCCCCCACCTTCCCGTTCCTGGGGCTGCCATTGACAACCAGGGTCACCCTCCGCATGCTCCCGGCGCCGTCGCTGCTGCTACTCCTCACCCGGAAGTTGGGCTCTGTGACTGGCGGCGGCGGGAAGGCATCCAAGCCCTAGCTTCCCGGCCGCGTTGTCCAATAGGGACTAGGGAAGGGCGGGACCATTGTTGCTAGGACCAGGGTTTCGCGCCGCGGCGGGGGCGAGGTGTCGATGTGAGCCAATCAGAGCGGCTGGAAGGGGAGCCGTTGGAGAACGTCCCTCGGTGCTGGCCAATCGGCACAAGAGGAAAGCGGGCTATTTACATAAAGGCGGGACCCCAGCGAGACCTGGACCTTCTGATTGGGGGGGCAGCTATCACGTGGGTGATCCTCTAGGTTTCACACGCCCTCGTTTCAAAAATTCGCGCTTCCTCCGCGCTGCTGGGACTCTTCGCGGACGAAAGAGTCCCGCGGCTCCG